TTTAGCGCCCCCTTACACGCCCACCCTTCACTCATTGGCCGACTTCTGCATGCCTGTCGTCACTTACGTCCACCTTTTTTCTATATAAACAGCGTGTCGGCCAGAGGTGCTTTTAGTCAGGCTTTGGAACTCGGCGCATACATAACACGCACCGCATTATAAGGCGTCCGGTCCATTTTGGAGAAAATTTAAGACTTCTAATGGCGCCTTATAGTGTGAAAATACGGTAAGTGAAAGTGAATGCTGATCATAAATTTCGCGATTTCTTTCCCCTTTTTTCTTTCTAGACTGACTATATTAAGTGTCAAATAAGTGTATGTTCATACTTATGCACTACTTTCCCCTTTTTTCTCTCTAGACTGACTATATTAAGTGTCAAACAAGTGTATGTTCATACTTATGCACTATTGGAATAAAAATAAAAGAGTACACATACGTTTGTGTGTGCGTGTACACATATATATGTGTGTGTGTGTGTGTGTGTGTGTGTGTGTGTGTGTGTGTGTGTGTGTGTGTGTGTGTGTGTGTGTGTGTGTGTGTGTGTGTGTTTACATCTGAGATCAAATTTGCTTCAACGAAAAAACCCCTGTTGTGAAACATTTCTTGCTGCAAATATGATTTCGTTGTAGAGGAGTTTCACTGTATATTGTTATAAGTGTTTTTTTTAACATTGAAGAATGATGTTATATGATAACATCTTGAATAAGAATCAAATAAACACAAAGAAAAATGATTTTATGAACTTTTCTCTCCTGTTGTTTTTCTGGCAAAGCCTTGCAAAATAGAAAGTTTTCTCTAATCGTGCCTCCATCTACGAAACGCACATTGGCCAAGAGTTCAGCATGTCCACTTATATCAGTAGCCTCATCAACTTACAACCAAATTTATTACTGATACAGATCTTGTCCAAACCACACTTTCAATGTCTGCAGACACATCATCAATACGTCTGGAAATTGTGATATCTGAAAGAGGGACTTTGTATATTTCTTTAGCCGCTTCAGGTCCGAGCATCTCATTTGCAATGTCTTTGTAGGAGGAAAATATTCATTGCTCTGCCACAAGGTGGGACTTTTTTGATTTAGCTACAAGTTCAGCGATGTGGTAGCTCGCTTTAAGGGCTCTCTCATTTACCTTTGTGGTTTTTCCTCATGCACGTTGCTTGTTTCTCCTTGTGTTCATGCAGACGAACAAAATACTCCACATTTTTGTTTCTAAGTAATGGGTGTTTCGTTTGGAGATGGCGTTTAAACTTACTTCGGACCATAGTGCTGTTGGAGAGCTTTTCACCACAGACGAAGTACAACAGAGTCGGTGCCGTTGCATCACCAGTAAAAGTAAATCCAAATGAAAGATAGCTTTCATTGTTTTGCCTCGTGACAGAAATTTTGGTGGACGTCTTTGCTTTCTATTGAACTACACTCATTCTAGGAAACTTTATATGGGTTTAGATTTTGTCCAGGATCCAGTTCAGAATCAGCCATTTTTTCCTCTTCAAAAACGTACCCATCACTTTCACCGTCGTCCTGCATACATGCGTCACTAATTCGCTTGTCACAAGGCAATTAGCTAGCTGCTGCTGCTCCCAACCGGTATGGAAGAGTACTACATGATTACCCTGCCAGGCGATAGACCGCACAGGCAGACAAATTGGATAATTTCCCACGGCACACCTGACATATCTCACTGTGCTAAGGCACACAAAAACACTGCAGTAAATGACAGTAGTAGCTTGTGAGTGACACCTTGTGGAAACATAAGGTAACAAACCGAACCAATTTTTTCTGGTGACGTATTATTACATTATAGACAGCGTGGGCCTCGAATAAAGGGTATTGTGTAGCATTGACATTGTGCCACGTTATTAGTAACAACTGTTTTTGAAGCTGATGCATTTTAAGGGTATAACGAGCTCTTAATTACACGGGTGTGTTGGCATGTCATGAAAGGCAGTGGCCACGGACGGCTAATTATCACCAATAAAAATACATTCACACTTAAACGACACCACAAATCCCAGTCAGGGTGTTGAAGTTATCTGTGCAATAAGTCTGCAATATTGGAGGCTGTGAAATTTAGACAATAATGACGCTGGAAGGTCAGGAGTGTTTGACCAAGAACCACACTGGAACTTTTTGTTTGGTGCCGTTTCAGTGAGATTTATGAAGACACCTGCCTGAAGAAAATATGGACATTTCCAGTTACTGATGAGATGCATATCAGGCAAAAAGCACAGGGGAAATGGTTATCCTTACATCTTCAATGAATGCACAAGTTATCATTGACATTTTGGACACTTTTCTTATTCCATCAATTGAAAGGCCATTTGGGGATGATGAAAGCATTTTTCGAGATGATAATGCAGCGAGCCAGAGAGCAAAAACTGGGAAAGCAAATGAAGTCAGTGTCATGGCCTGTGTGGTGTATTTTTCTCTGAGAAGCTTCAAAGCCGCTTCCAGGAAATGCTAGATTGGAGATGGAAATAAACTTCTTAAAATGTGATTTTTGTTTTTTTTTTCTGGTCAAATGCTGATTGTCAAAGAAGTGCAATTTCCCATGAATATTTGTGTGATGCTGGTGCGCAATTCGTTTTTGCCTCCCTTCTCATCGGGACTCACGTTAATGTTCTAAATTACTTGTTCCAGATGCATGACATACGGGCAAGCCACTTTCGTCGTTTACCTGCTCAGAACCTCCAGGATACAAACGTTCACTTAACTGTGACTCTTTTAGAACGAGATGGTCAACGCACAATGCAAGAAACACTTCCTTGACTGTATTTTCCGGGAGATGATTACTTCTCCCGGGGAAACCACTTTTTTTTTTTTTTTTTTAAATTATTTATTTTTGTGTTTCTTCAAGACAGAAAGTTGCCATTTTGAAAAGACTTTAGTTGTGTGTCATCTCAGTCATCTGTTTTTGGGCTAGAAATTTAGAGAAGTGAATGAACATCCTCTGAGATTGACGATTTCCTATTTTTTGCCAGGGGTTGTATTTTAACACAGGGGGAAAATGCTTTCTCATGTTCTAGTGCACTATCCTGGATTAGACTTCATAAAGACATGAAGTTCAAAGGACTTTGCCCCATGCCTGCTTTTAAAACCATCATTAGCTTTTTTTTTTTAATTTTCAATTACTGATACCCTTGAAATGTGTCATTTTACATTGCTATGCAATTTTAATTACATAGTTTGTAATGTGGGTGGCACAGTGATCGACTGGTTAGCACGTCCGCCTCACAGTGCAAAGGTGCAGGGTTCCGGCTCCGGCCTTCTTGTGTGGAGTTTGCATGTTCTCCCCGTGCCTGCGTGAGTTTTCTCTGAGTACTCCCACACTCTTCCCACATTCCAAAAACATGCATGGCAGGTTAACGGAACGTTCTAGGTGTGATTGTGAGCGCGAATGATTGTTCGTCTATGTATGCCCTGCGATTGGGTGGCAACCAGTTCAGGGTTTACCCCGCCGACTGCCCACAACCCTTGTGAAGATAAGCAGATTAGAAAATGGATGGATGGATGTTTGTAATGCTGTTCCTTTAACATTGTTATTTTCTGAAATGTAATGCTCCCGCCCTTGGTCAGGACCCTCAGAAAAGAGATCTCTGATATCAGTGACATCACACAGTTAAGTAAAAAATGCTATAGAAGATTATTAAATAAAAGATAAAATGTTACGGCCACAGGATGGATGACAGTCGATCTTGAAAGGCCCAATGAACCTTGGACCCATCTTCTGGGAAACCCCAGCGAGGTGGATGTACCGACTTGACCTCTTTTATCAGACAATAGTCAAGATTATGAACCACAGTACGAGAGACTGAGGCACGTGTATCTGTCAGACACGGTGGGCCCACCAGAGATGAGAGTGGACAGAGGGAATTGACACCTTTCTCCTTCAAGGGGAACATAAGGACAAATGCTTGAGATGTAATGATTTCTCGGAAATCGATTTAAACTGCTTGAAATATGTATTGAAGTAAAAAATAAAACAATAGATTCACAGTGCCATGGATCTTTTTGTTTTGGTCATGACCCACGTCTTATGACCATTTTTAGGAACATCAAGTCCCGATTATGAACAATTTTGTAGATTTGGCATTCCATTAAGACAAGAATTTCGGCCATCTTCCAAGAGAATCAAGGGAAGTTGGGGGCTTGGGGGTCGGGCACTGTGAAATCCGAACATTCCATGTGACCACAAAAACAACACCCGAAAAAAGACTCTTTATTGACCTGGCATCATGAGACTACAGGAAATGCAAATGTCTTCTTTTTGTTCACAAGCAACAAAACAATGACAAATTGCATTTCATGTCGATGCAATTTTAAGTAGACCCTATGAAATATTGTGAAGGTGTTTCATGTCTGTGTGGCAAGGGTTCTTTCCCTTGCCACTTATTCCATTTACTCAGCTCACCTGGTCAACTGGATGCAGACAGTGATGGAATCACAAATCAACAAATATGGTTTAGTGTTAAACTTTACTATCATACATTTCATACATACAATATCATACATTTATTTTTCACTCATGAAGGGTTCGGTGAATGTGCATATTAACTGGTTGGGTTCGGTACCTCTAAAAAGGTTAAGAACCACTGCTCTCGACTAATCACACACACACACACACACACACACACACACACACACACACAAATAAGACTTTTTGACAACCGTTGACTGTCACATTCATACCAAGTGGAAAGAGCAATGTGAACCTGCATGTGACTGTACTCTAGAAGGAGGCCTGTTACTTTTTATTCTTCTTAATTCTTGTTTTCAATGCATAAACGGCAAATTCAAATATTACAAGAATTTTTGATGGGAAGCTTGGCCATTTATTCCACTCAGCCTCTGATTTTTTTTGTGGAAGGTGACATGTTCCTGGTGGCGGGGAGAATGATGGGTAACTACTTCTTTCACGAAGGACCATGTCTGCAGGGACTCAGTCCTCCTGTTGTACGTGTTCTGCTTGGTGGGAGTCCTGAATCTGCTATCGTTACACTGGAGGACTGCCCAGACCTGGATCAACTTGTGTGTTTAATTTAAACATAAATATATAAATACATTTTCTTTGTTCTATATTTTACAATGGGATGCTATTTTATTGTCTATTGCACTTGATGTGTGAGGTTTTTTGTGTAATGAAATACTTTGTCCCCCGCCCCCCAATTTTGCTGCTGTAGACTGCAAATTTCCCCAGTGTGGGACAAATAAAGGTTATCTTATCTTATCTTGTGTTGTATTCTGTAGTCTCTTGAAGCTTAAAAGGGGATTCATACTGAGGATAAATAAAGTGTTAAGGACTTGCCGTTTGTGTGGGACCTCCCTTCTCTTACAGAAAACCACAGGAAGTAGCCTTTTGAGAAGTTGTTGATCTATGCCGTGAGTGAATGTTTTGAAAGTTTGATAAATGTTCATCCAAACATGTCACACGTCCTGTTTGATGTTTCCACCCTGTGAGTGATGTTTGGTGTAAATGCACATTGCGAAGTAAAAAAAAAAAAAGAAATCTGACGAAATTAAAATGCTCCACTTTATCCTGATGGTTTCTATCCCCAAAGTCCTATTAACGGGTAATAGGACGCATCACAAGGCAAATGAAGCAGCTCAGATGAGGTCTCGTAATCCCAATGTGGACACTGTTGACCCAAAGACCTGACGCGATGGTCTGGCTTTTTCCAAAAGACATGGCAGGGAATGTCATTGCTAAGGTTAATTTTAATTATTCTTGTCATCTGGTGCCATATCTGAAGTAAATGTTAGGGCTCATACCTGGTCACTTTCTTCAATGCATACATTACCCCTAACTGACATAATGAGTATCAGTCGGTTATGTTTGACCAAAGAGTATCTAAGAATAAAAAATGATAGTCTTTCACATGCTATTTTTATCCATGCAGGTGCGTCTTTAGCAAATCGCATGGCCTCGTGATGATGACAGTGATGATGGTGATGTTTCCTCTGAAAGCAAATGCTGCATAGCAGGCTATCTGCGACAGTTTTATACCTAATGGCAGTCTTGAAGGGGTGGCTAATCGTCTATTCAACATGAGTAATCCATGCCATTTATTCTGATGACTAATCAGTCATTTAAATCAACTCCATAGCAACACCAGCTGATTTGGCCAAGCTGCTCAAATTCTGGACTGGATAAGAGGTCCTACCACAAAGTCTTTCTGTTGAGGTCAACAAGGGCAGATACCGCAAAGCATCCACCTGTTTTGAGATCTTGCGTGTACCAGGGCATTACAAGGATTGCGAATCTGTAAATACAACATCCTGTCCTGCATCTGCACTTGCCATACAGGATTTGGTCTTGTGAGACTTGTTACAATTGTCAAACGAGTTTGTTTTAGTCAAAATATTTTACTTGTTTAAAGTTTAAGCTAGTTTATGATTCTGTTCTGTTTGTTTTGCAGTGTCTGGCGGGAGTGGAGGGTGTTCCCTCCTGAGCCACCCCTGTCGTTACTCTCATTATCTAGCTGCCTTTATAAACTCAGTCATGTCGACAACTGGCTGTCGGATTATTGCCCTTGCACACAATTCTCGTACCAAGTGCAATTTTCTCGACCTTCATCATTTTTGCCTCCAAGTTTCTCCACACTTTTCCAAGTAGTTTCTTGTCAGTAGTTCTTGTTGATATTCCTCAGGTTGTGTTTTTGTGGAATAGATTTCCTTGTCCTTTGAGTGACAAGTGATTTACATTTGTCTTTACACTTGGCTTTAGCAAGCGGTTTTGGTTTGTCTCGTTTAGTCCTGGTTCTTTGTAATCACCATCATTTGTTGTACTTTGTTGGTTGTGCATTTTGTTAACGATCTTAACTTTGTCCGCATTTGTGGGATCCAATTCTGTTCTGGACTCTTCCAGATCTGTAACAAAGCTTTTCCAGATTCATCTGACAGTATGTAGCCCACATGTTTCTACTTGTATTTGACTACAATTTGAATGGAAAACCACCAGACGCAGTCCTTACTCTGGTAATACGATAAAGATATTGAAGGTGACCTAGCAGTGATTTTATTTTCACATTGTTACACAATGAAAAGCATTTTGTATCATCACAAAACGTGCAGCTGAACTTTCACACAAAATGGTCAATTATTTGCTAGTTTTGGTATGAGCGACAACATATTGTCAATTTCTATACAGTATTCTAATAAACCATGTGGAGACAAAAGTTCAAAGTGGATTCTATTGTACTACTCATAGATAACTTAAGGGGATGATCATCTGCAAAAACATTAAAAGATCAACAAAACTGCAATCTTTCTGATCAGTTTCTTCAAACTGTACACAAAATTGAACAAGAGCAAAGCAAATATCGTTGCCAAAGGACTGAGATGCAGCGGTCAACTGCATCCCTGAAAGATGTCGGTTGTCCATTGTCTGTGGGCATTCAATGAAGCTGGTGTGTTACGATTTGCGTGGTGGTCGTTGTTGGAACGACCCCAAAAAGCAGGGAGGAGCAGGGTGGCTGACCAAGCTGTATTAAACAAAAATGCAAACAGAAGTACACAGGAGAAACTAACTCAAAAACTCACTCAAATAAAGTCCAGAAAATCTCAGGAAACAAAGTAGCAAACAAAACATAAGACAGTAAACAAAACATGACACATGCACAGAGCCACACACAACAGCAATAATGACCTGACACTGAGTTGTCGGGCATCAAGTCTTTTAAAGCAGCAACTAATGACACAATGACCAATAGGTGTGCAGCTGCAGGCGGAGCCCGACAGTGCCACCTGTTGGTCACAAACAGATTCATGACAGTACTCCTCCCTCAAGGATCCCAGATGTCCCAAAGTCACCCATAGGCTTGCTTCGCCGGGGAACAGGAACAGAGGGCGACGGCAACCCTTGCCTCGCCGGGAACAAGAACGGAGGGCTATGGCAATCCTTGCGTTTCCGGGGAAACAGGAACGGAGGGCGACAGCAACACTTGCCTCACCGGGAACAGGATCGGGTGGCTGTGGGACTAGGCCTCTGGTCCTGCGGGGTCCAGTCTGGTTGGATCATTCTGTTACAATTTGCGTGGTGGTCGTTGTTGGGAGGACCCCAAAAAGCAGGGAGGCAGGGAGGAGCAGGGTGGCTGACCGAGATGTATTTAACAAAAATGCAAACAGAAGTACACATGAGAAACTAACTAAAAAAAAAAAATCATTCAAATAAAGTCCAGAAAATCTCAGGAAACAAAGTAGCAAACAAAACCTAAGACAGAAAACAGAACATTCATGATGTGTCCAGCAACACCGATGCGTCGACGCACGCGTCGAGCTCACAGAGCGATCCCCCGCATCAGTGCGCATACTGCCTCAAGACGATCATGTGACCAATGCATAAACTGCGTCAACTTAGTCGAGGGGGCGTCAACGCCGCAAAAGCCTGCCAAACTGTGGTTATAAGGGAGTGCGTCGAGCAACGCGATGCCGACTGCCGAAACAAGCCAGACCTCACCCTCGCTCGCCTGTCGAAGTACATGCATATTATTATTATGCAGGAGCTCCCGGGGAAGCGCAAATTGTCCGCTGTGTGGGTCCCTTTTGATCTCCTTTTGGAGACTAAGGTATTTATTCAAATCTCCTTGTCTCACCAAGTGCCTCTCAGATGATTGATTATTGTTCCATTCTAATTCAAATCAATTTCAAGGTGACTCTTAGTTTACATTCACATATTTTATTGCAGCTGAAATGTCAAATTTGCCATACAGAAATATACACCAACAAAAGCACCTCTGCAACTGCATCTGGCATGTTACTCATCATTATTAGTTTGTTTTTGTAAACTGTTCTAAATGCCATTTTTGTTGGGTTTTGTTTTTTAGATGACCTGTGGCAGCATCTCTATGATGACGTGCGGAGACTGGGAAGAGGTGCAACAGCAGATGCTATATCAGAGGTCTAGTGATGCCTGGCAGAGGGGAATATTGCATGCAATCAAGACCCGCTGTTGTATTGGAATGACCAAAACACTTCTTTTCCAAACCTCTCCCACCTCGCAAAGGAGTTCCTCTGTATGCTGGCCTCATCTGTGCCATGTGAGCGTGAGTTCTCCACAGCAGGGGAAATAGCATGTAAAAAAATGCAACAGACTGAAATTCAAAACACTGGAGCATATTCTTTTTCTAAATACAAATTTGTGAAGACAAAGCCCACAAGCATCCTCATTCACATAATTTTCACATTAATGAAACATATTGAATGATACAATATGAATGCCTGAATGTGAATGATATTGTATACACTTCATCATCAAATCAGTCAGTTCAGTCTGTCAAGTGCGTTGGCTGCAGGGATTTTGAAGGTCCAGCAGGTGGCAGTGGTCAGCAACACAGTATCAACACAGTGTGTCATTGTGTCAACATGCTTCATGATGCCTCATGGACCCATCACTACAAAACATGACACATGCACAGAGACACACACAACAGCAACAATTACCTGACACTGAGTGGTCGGGCATCAAGTCTTTTAAAGTGGCAACTAATGACTCAATTACTTACAGGTGTGCCACCTGTTGGTCACAAACAGATTCATGACAAGGTGCGGTTATCTCCATGAAGTCCACCGTTTTCCCACTCAATGTCAGGAATCTCTTTTAGATTGTATGGAGTAACATCAGACACAATTTTAAATACTTTGTTCGTTTAGCTTCTAATTAATTGGCTAAACATGAAGTATATTATTTGTTCACATATTTGCATGTACTTCTGTGTTAGCTGAAACTGGATGACATGTGCCACCAAGCTCCCATAGCCAGTGTTGCCAACTTAGTGACTCTCTTGCTGTATTTAGCGAGTTTTCTGACCCCTCCAACGAATCTCATTCAAAAAAGTGTCGAGCAACAAATCTAGCAACTTTTTCAGGTGTTATTGGAGACTCTGATGTTAATTTAAAAAAAAAAAAAACCTGTGAAACTGACTGAGGGCCTAGGCTTAGTTACCATCATTTTCTCAACTGCCATTGAGCTGTGTTCGATTGTCTCTTTTTGGTTAGATCGTTAACGTAGATTTGTACATTAAAAAATAAGTTTAAAAAGTTCATGTTTCATTGTGACCAAACCAAACTAAAGAACACTAAACCAAAATAAATTAAACATTTAAAAAAAATGCACAAAAAATAAATAAATAAAAATCCAAAATAACTCCGCTTGAGTGTCTCGATTGGGTCACTTTTGCTGGTCCCAAGCCCAAATAAAGGAGGAGGGTTGGAAATGTAACAATCAAAGAAACAAGAATCAACAGTAGAAAGCTCATTTGTAATTCTGTTTTTTTTCCCCTCACCATTTGTCTCTCCGACGACGTTATTCCTTTCCTAACAGCGTCCATTGCATGCTGCATGCGCATGGTCAATTATGCAAATTGGGTGATGGCGAACATTTAGCGACTTCTAGCGTCTTTTAGGACAGCCAATAGCTACTTTCCTTACTGAGGAGTTGGGAACACAGTTGGATAGGGATCATGTGGCTCTCCATTCTCAGTGGATGGTTGTCCCAACCATTGTGGAACGTATCCAAGTCATCCTGCATGCGGGGGAGGAACACAAAGTGGCAGCAGAAGCGGGGTGTTTCATTGCCAATACCTTTTTCAAGGTACTGGAAAAAAATCATAATAGAGACAGGTCACAGCTGCCCACAGGTCTCTCCATAGCCAATCAATCCAGATATACAGCTGTTCCTTCCAGTTTCTCGGACTGTAAACATGCTGCGTGCAACAACCACATTTTCAACTCCTTGATGTGCACATACCCAAATAGGGAGATAAAACACTTTCAAATATCACATCCATCTATATTAAAAATTGCTTCCAAATTGTTTGATAAACGATGTGTAATGAGAGTGGTTGAATATAAACATTGAGAATAAACATTCTAGTTCTGCACTTATAAACTCTCTGACTAAAGAGTATGAAACAGGAGTACGATATTTTCCGCACTAAAAGGCACACCTAAAAGCCTTCCATTTTCTTAAAAGCTCACAGCGTGCCTTAAAATCCGATGCGCCTTGTGTATGGTCATTACGGTAATATGTCAACCCCAAAATGGCTCCTTGCTAGAGAGATGCTTACAACGCAGAGTTCAAACAGAAGGCGATGGTTTCGCAGTTGAACACGGAAATAGAACAGCAAGAGAGTTCAACGTTAACGAGTCAATGATATAACTTGCTGTTGGCTAAGTGAACTGTGTCGGTGCTTTATTAAATACGTTTTACTGACATCTGATCGTCGCTATATGAAGTATAGTGTAGTGTAGTGTAGTGTAGTGTTCTGTTGGCATTTCCTTGAGCTTAGCTCTATCTAGTGGATGCATTGGAAATTGCGTCTTATAATGCAGTGCGTCCAATATATGAAAAAAAATTACAAAATAGGGCATTCATTGAAGGTGTGCCTCATAATCCAGTGCGCCTTTTAGTGTGGAAAATACGGTAATGCGGGCTTCATCTTGCCCCATATTAAATATATTATGAACACTTAATTGTCTTTAACCTGCCATTTTTCCGACCATACAATTTTCTTTCAGCAGTGTTGCCCGAAATTCTAGAGTTCATATACGTTGCCTTGTTGCAGACTTATGATAAAGTGTTGCAAAAATTTTCTTGACTCACTTGTCGAAGTGAACTCTAGAACTAAGAGTAGCCGACTGAAATTATAGTCATGACCAGTGGTGGATGCAGTCTGTCAAGGAGGGGAAGCTCAATTTTGGCCGATATCATAAAATGTGTCCGTTTATATAAACGCAAATTCTACTCTCCGTTCCTTTTCAAGAAAAAAATATCTGTAACCCTGCCATACCAACAAGGCGTCTTTTCCAGGAACTTAACTAGTGTCCTACAACTACAGCAACTACAATAAACCCACCAGTAATAAAATATTACGGTAATTCGTCGCTTATCGTTTTCAACAGAGAGTGTCGCTTAGATGATTTGAAGTCGTCTCCAGTTCAACTTAGAAAAGAATGAGAATTGAAAGTGCTCCCACGGATGCCTACACTAAAAGATCGGTGATTGGCTCATTTCGATGTCAATCAAACTGGAACACAGGCTGAGACAGATCATCCAATCTGATGCAGAAAAGCTGAGCGTCCGGTACCCTCCCACTGCCATCCCGTCCCAGAGACGTCCCAGAGAGTCGAAGCGTCCGTGGGCGGGACAAAAACCAGCTTGTATCCAATGACTCGTCTCCATTCAACGCATTGGGACAACCTACCCTGAACTCTCGAGAAGCTCAGCATCTGGGCAGGAGACGCTCAGCTGACGCTGAGCGTCCACCGTTTAAAGCAGGGGTCCCCAACCGCCGGGCCGCGGACCGGTACCGGTCCGCAGGGCATTTGGTACCGGGCCGCACAGAAAGAACTTGCCTTATTTCCGTTTTATTTATTTCGGAATGCGAAATATGTTTTATTTTGAAAAATTACCGGATTCTCTGTTACATCCGTCTGTGT